TATTGTTAAATTGAGACCCCAAATTTCAGCACCAGCAAATTTTAGCATTGGCCGCGACAATAATTTACATATTTTAGCTTACAAATAGAGTGCTTTGTTACCCAAGTAAACAAAGACATCTCAGTAAAATTCGCAAAATATGGGTTAAATGTATTTTCAAGATTTTGACTTGTTGATTTTTCAAATATAAAGTCTGCAGCTTTAATTTTATCTGAAAACTCCTCTTCTTCAAATATACTACTAAACTCATCAAAATCTTGCTGATCCGAGTAATTAGAAGAGACGTTACTATCAGACTTATCGAAATCTTGCAGGTCAGAAAAAGCATCTTCTTGATCATCGTCTTCTTGAAAATCATCTTCATGGTCTGAAAAAGAGGCTTTCAATGAATGTTGACCTACATCTGCTTCTGATTTAGCAATATTGGAATTCTGATGTGATTTAGATTTAGGTTTGCGAATATTTAAAAGTGGATTATTATTACTATTCCGCTTTCTGTTTCACGTACGTAAAGTAGGGACTTTCGACATTTTGGAAACTATCTACGATCTATATTATTTTTTTTTTTGCTTTTTTTTTATTTTTACCTATTTATACAATCTTACACTTTCTGTGAATCTTTGTTATGGAACTAACTGGAAAAAAGGTTTTCTATCACATTTATTCAATCATATTTTATTACATCAAGTTTATTTAATTAACATCTACCCAAACTCGTTAATCTCCGATCCGATCTTTTGCATGATCAATCTGCTGATTATATGTGACTCTTGAATAAGATTAGGACCAAATGTGAGAAGTTGTATTGTGGATTATTCACTTTTTGCAAGTTTGAGGGCAGTTTTTGAATAAAATTTATAAAGCCTTATATTAAACCTAATACTGTAATATAACCTCAATATATACCATTCAGGGTTTTACAAGATTCATTGGATACAGTACTATAATTAAAAAATTTTTACCAAATAAAGCTATATGATTGGATAATATATTATAGATTAATACTGCATTTTTTAAAATTTTTTTTTAAAAAAAATATTTAATAAGTTTGATCAGTAATTCTATCAGAATTATGAAAGCCAAATTTTAATTTTATTAGCAAAAATGATAACAACCCAAATTTATTCTACTGTATTTTATATCTTTACAAAAAAAAATGTTCTAGATAGATTAAGCACGTTCTAAAAATGTCCTCACACTATATATTTGAACTTATAAACCGAATAGGGATTGTTTGCCCAAATATTATCTGTAACACAACACAAAAAATCAAAACAATTATATTTCACGAAAAGTACGTACCGTAAATGGCTAGATACGTCTATTACATTTCACCAATTTTAAAACTGGACCCACGGGTCTCTTGTATGGGTGTGGGTCTGATAATTGGAAGGTCTATTCTATTTTCCTTGGTTTTTTCCTATTAGTATACCCCAGGTCTTTTATATTTTACTAAAATTTTATTCTATATTGTAGACCGGGTATAGTACAGTTGGCTCTGAAAGTATAACACGGTTATACAGAAAACACATCAAAAATTGTCTAAATCAAAGATAATAAATTGCGTAAATTAATATAAGATTATCAAAATAATTTATTGTAAGTTTTGGAGGCGGCCTTCGTTGTCGAATGTTAACCTTTAATATTTCTCAATAGGATAAATTTATGTTTTATATCATATTTTTCATGTAACCGTGTTATACTTTTAGAGACAATTGTACATAGTGGATCTATTATCTAGAGGGATCTTGTATCTGGCCATTTACGGTAAACCTGAGAATATAGCATATGGTAAATCTAAGTTCGAATAAAGAATCAAATAAATAAATTAATAAATATTTGTTATTCTTACCAACTAAAGTTAATGCTATTAATCATGAAATTAAATAAAATATACGGTAAAACATTAGGAGCTTATTCAATAAATAAGGTACAGGGAAGTAAATTGATTAATTAACTTATGTCTAATCGAACTCGGCCCTAAAAATTCTGATTCAACTTTATAAAATAATACATTGCTATTAGAAAGGTTAAATACATGTATTTTGATCATATTTCATTATTGCGAGATCAATTGTTCAAGGACCGGACTGAAATCTTACAAGGTAAAGGATAGTAAACCAATTTACAAGTTTTTTTTTCCCATCACTCAATATAGTCCAATAAACTAATGCGAACAAGATATAAT